TCCCGCGGCGGACGACGCTCTCCATTTCAACGACTCCGCCACCGCCGACGTCGTCCTCCGCCTCTACGTCGACGGTCCCTCCCCGCTCGAGTCCTCCGCCGATTCCATCTCCAACTCCGACCTCCACGTCTACCTCCACTCCGACGTCCTACGCCGCTCCAAATACTTCTCTGCGCTCTTATCCGACCGGTGGATCGGCCACGTCCACGTGCCGGAGCACTCCTCCACCGCCGCCGCCGCCCGCGACCTCTTCCGACTCAACCTCGCCGTCGCTCCCGCCGCCGCCTCGATCCAGTCTCACCTCACCGTCCTGGAGCTTCTCTACACGAACGACTTCGCCGCCGCGGTGGACAGCGCGTCCACGGCGCTGGATCTGTTGCCGGTGGCGCTGGAGCTTCTCTTCGAGGAGTGCGTTCGTTGGTGCGTTGATTTCCTGGAAGCGGTGCCGTGGACGGACGATGAGGAGAAGAGAGTAGTGAGATTGATCCCCTTCCTGAGCGAGGAAGAGTCGAAGGAACTCGTGGCTAGGGTTTCTCCTTCGGGAGAGGACTCGTGCGAGGCGATGCTCCAAGGACTCGTGTCCTCCGCGATGAACAGTTACGGCAACACTGCGTTCGTGAAGGCGTTCGTCGGGAAGATACTGAGGGACTTATCGTCGAAGGAGACGGCGAAGAGAGTGTTGGAGAAAGCCTTCGCGAGAAGCTTGAAGACGGTGAAGGAGTCGTTGGAGGATTACTCGAGTCCCGTGTTCAGAGGGGATCATAATGAGACGGAGGCTATTCAGAGGCTGAATCTGCACAAGGCTTCCACCAATGGGAAGCATCTTCTGTGGCTTGTGGAGAGGATGATCGAGCTTAGGGTTGCCGATGTTGCAGTGAAGGAGTGGAGCGAGCAAGCCGGTTTCACTGCGGATTTGCAGAGGGCGTTTCATGATGATGCCTGGAGGAACATTGTGCCTGGCCTTCCTGCTGTGATTCTAAGGTGCACCTGTAGGCTCGCCAATGCTGTCACTGCTGGCACCATTCTCGCTTCTAGACAGGTAATTTTCGTCTTTGATTTTGCTTTTGTGCTGAAATTTGTCATAAATGAGTTTATTATTGAATAAGTGTTTGGTTAAGGACCATAATGTACCCTCCCCATGTAGAGTTCGTTGTTTATTTTCATTTGACATTAGGCGTAGGCTTGTTCTACAAGGTCAGGTTGGCTCAGTTAGTAACAGACTGTATTGGCAGTTTTCGGATCATGATTCTCTCTAGTTCTATAAACAACAAATAAATCTTAACCATCCAAATTATTTTTTGTCAAATAATTATAATATAAAAGAAAATTAAATATAAGCATCCGTTGGATGCAACTGTAGGAACATGCAGTTTTTTCTAAAACTGCAGGTGATCCTGATCCGCAGTTGTCATAAGTTTTGATGATTGAGGGCTAAGGCATCAGTTCTTGGGTATATTAGCATAATTCCTAAAAATGAGAACAAATAAATTAAATAAAAAAGAAATTGAGTCACCAATGGCCCAAAACTCACTCTGAAGTACAAGAGAAGAAAAGCATGTGTGGTGATCTGTACGTTGTTGGTGACTGGTGGAGGCGTTATGTTGCCATCCACAGCGGCGAAGAGAAGAAAATCACGTGCAGAAGTTGGCTTTGGGATTGCAACTTTATCTTGACAGCAGTCAAGAAAGGCAAAGATGGGAACAAAGAGCATGCAGTGTTGAATGTCGTTTCATATCACGCCTAGCAAGAGAGGAAATTGTTTGAGATGGGGTCCTTGGATTTGTAACAATTCTACTTCCCAATTGCCTTCAAACAAAAAGATTAATTTCATCATGTCTCCCATTTCCCTCTTTCTCATTTCACCAAACAAACAAGTTAGAAATTCTGTTGTGAATGAGCTGGAGACTGGATTTGCTACTGCTTGAGATCCTTACTCACAAGTGTTCTGCTATGGAAATATTCTTGTGTTATGAGTATGACTTGTAGCCTGTTTGTCTGTTGGCTGCAATGATCTTTTTTGCTGAAGGAAACTCCTTTGCCTTTGGGAAACCGAGCATTAGGCAAGCAATTGTTGATGTTGTGTTGCTTATTTGCAGAAAAAAAGCAGTTCAACATTGTTTAGTCAGCTATTGTTATGTCAAATTGTTACGCTATGTTGTTTATTCATATCAACACAAATAGGTTGAAGTCATGAGTTGAGGAGAATATTGGGATTTTGGGGACATTGTACAATTGTACCAGGCATCAGGAATTCATGCCCTCCTCCCTTCGAAGAGTGAATTAATTGCTAAGTTCTGCATACTTGGGTAGGAAATGCTGGCTATAAAAAGATTTTTGTGATCGGTGAATGCTTTGTAGTTAGGGCCACCAAAATGTGCGCCTGAGGTGCTAAACGGATTGGGCACCTATTCATGGTTGAGGTTGTTGGTCATCTAACTTGGTAATTGCAATGCCGTGGGTAAAAATAGATTGAGTGTTACAAGTAACTAGTTGTCGGATTTGTTTTGTAAATTGATAATTTTATTGTTTAATTTTTATTCTGGAATCTGGATATTATGCTTGAGCATATATCTTATATGGCAAATCAATGCAAAATAATCATATATTTACTGTTTTCTTTTTCTCTCTACGGGGTTGCATTTCTCTTTGGCACCTTTCTCCTGAAGGTTTTAAAAATATTCTTTACAAAACTTATGTACAATTCTTTATTCCATAAGTGTCTTTGGTGTTGTGTTCCCATTACAGTTAGTTTTCTTTGCTTTGTTCAGGTGAGAAGGAAGCTGGTAGAAGATTGGCTGCCCGTGTTGGTTGTGTGCAAAGATAATGTTTCACCAATATCACCGAGCAACAAATCGTTGTATCTGGAACTGGAAGAAACATTCTTGCGAATCATCTCCACATTGCCCATGTCAGATGCTCAAGAGTTGCTGCAGCGGTGCCTCAGCTTTTCAACCCGAAATGTTGAAGATTGTCCTCATTTGGTCACTGCATTCAACACCTGGTTCCGCCGTGCTGCCCGACCCCTCAAACCAGATTGTCTCTTTGATCAATGAGCTGCACCTGGTTGCCTTATTGTCAAATATTGTGCATATGTAATGTAAATACTATGTTCACTAAGTTTAACCTTAACATTGTACATATTAAAAATCCGAACCAACTCTCTTCTCGTCTAGTTCTAGGACAAACCACAGCCCAAATACATAATAGACCTTGTCCTGAGGCTGGTTTCCTTGCTTTTGGAATGCAAGATTTTAGTTCGCTGTTGCATGTATTTCTTCGGGCCGGGGGTGACACTGTGCTTTAGAAATTTTGGGTCAAAATAAAGATACCATCTTGTTATGACCCGTTGCAGGTAATTTAGTTTTGTCACTTAAGATACAGCCAAACTGTTTCGAATGGGCGAAATTAATATGGAATTGAGAGCATTTTTTAATTTGAATTAAATTTTAAAAAATTACTAGCCCAATTAATTATTAACTCCAATCTTTTTTTATCATTATAATTGTCAGAAAATCAAGAGTTTAGTTAACAGTATATTTCCATTGAAGATTATATTTCATTACATTTGGTAAATAACAGTTTTAATAAATTTCAAAATTATGTATCACCTTTTTCATTTAATTTATTTCAAAGTAATCGTATATGATTGAGAAAAAATTGTCTCAAATTATAGTTTACATATAATTTTGTTCTTTTAAGTTATTAATATACAAATTTTTATTTTAATTTATCTATAATCTAGGTTTTGATGTGTTTCTTATTTAGTTAAAAAAGTCATCATTTCAAGTCAATAAACTAAAAATTCACCTGACATAGATTTATGAATATAATACATAAGAGAAAAAAAATCAAACAAATAAAAAAAGTGATAGGTTCTAATCTCGTCATAGTTTAATTTGAATATAGAAAATAAGACAAGAATAAGACAATGATTTTAAAACAACACCAAGCAAAATATATATATATATATATAGATATAGAGATTCACTTATTCAATAAATTATGTTCTACATTGAAAAATATATGATATTTTGTTATAAATATTCAAATTAACGTATAAAATATTTTTATAATTATTCATATATTTAAATTAATAAAATAAAATATAAATGATTTTTAAATTTTTAAAAATTTAGAAACTAAATTTATATATTAGATATTTTTAATTTAATAATTAAATTATTAAAATTTAATATAGAACATAAATTATTAAATAAAATAAATTTATGAAAATATACACTCACAAGATAACCTATTGCCCCCTCCCATAAAAGTCCCCACTTAATGAGGCTGTAAGCTCCCAACTCACACAACCCAGACTAAAAAGGGGTTAGGACCAGGGTCAAAGGTGATTTCAATCCCTGCCTACGATTACTGATACTATACATAATTTTAAAGGATCATAAACATCTAAATTCATTGTTTTGTGGCGCAGCCGAAGCATTCTTAAAATCCTTAACGGATTTACTGCTTGATTTTGATTGAGTAGTCCCTGAGATGAATTGCATTAATGCCTGAAATGTTGAAAGAGTGACCACTTCCACATTCTCTAATAAACTAATCAAAGCCACTGTTTGATTGCCTTTGTTTGTGGTGTCTCGAATTGATCTTCCATATATAAAATGGATATCAAAGTAGTCCTATGAAGTTTTTGGACATTAAATTTCAATTGGACCATTAATGTTTAAAACGGATATCAATTTAGCCCCACAATATATATTTTCACATCAATTTAATCCCTGGATTTATGCTTGTTTAATTTTACTGTTCGAAGAACCAAATTGATGTCCAAAATATATGGAAGACTAATTTGATCATATACCAAGTATCTTTGGAGGACCAATTTAAGTATTTAATTTAAAAACCATTTGTATTTGAACAAGACAACTCCATGAGTCGATGATGATGATTCAACAAAATCACACTTTTCTCTTCAGAGCATGTAAAACAGTGAAACTGTGAACATCCTTTTCCTTTCCAATTAATGCTGATATGAAGAATGTTTTGGTAGATTGGCTGGCGGATATTGTAGAGGAATACAAGTTTGTTTCACGTGCTCTTTATTTTTCTGTATCTCACGTTTTTAAACTCGAATTCTTTACGTAGACAGAGGCTCCAATCCTACAACTACTGGACATTTCTTTGATGTTGCTAATTGTTTCACAAGTTCACCCATTTGTACAAACTGCAACCATGTACTCGCAAGGACAAGTCAACAACGGATCCATATATAAATCAGAGAAAAGCAACTTAAAATATATGCTACATGTTTTATGATCTGCAAGTTTATGGGACTTCACCAAAACAGAAAAGCCCTATGGAATAAATAACCTCCATTTAGGAAACAAAATAAAGTTTTAATGTCTTTGTTGCATGCTCACCTGCATTGCATATTTCCCTTCCAAGCAAGTTCCTTTTTCATCAAACATTGTATGGTGCCTGCACCCTGTTTGTGGTATAGGTACCTTGCACCTTTCATTTAATGTTTTGATATCTGAAGATGAAAATTCGTGTTGCCTTTAATTTAGCGACAAGTTTGTAGACCGAATGCTGTTTAAGAATAAAAACAGTTCCTCCACGCTCCACCATTAGACAAAAACTAACATTACAATGCATGTTCCACAAATTCTGATTTTTTTATTATCAGCAACCTGCAAAAGATACCATTTTCAAACAACCATGTGATGCTCAATGATGGGCCTCAAGCCCAAATAGCCAAGAGACCAGCTAGAAAAACACAAGATGGATCAGTAAAAAATTTAGGAGTGAGTTGGGAAACCTAGTGAGTAGGAAGCACTGAGTAAACAATACCATCATAGATCTGAGATTCAAATCAAGATGATATAAATGCTAGCCCATTTTGTGACATCTAGGGACAAAAATATTCTTTTTGTCTCCCTCAATTCATTAGCTATATATGGAGCAGATGCAGGTACTAAAACTGAGACTTCAGAACAAATTGTGAATATCATCTCCAACTTCTATATCCCTCTATTGTCTTGTCCAACAAGAATAAATGGAAACAAGCACAAAGAACTCTCTACACATTCGGTGCAATAGTTTACCCTCATCACCTCACCCGCTTGTATCACAATTCTGATAGAGGAAACAGAAACACAATAATCAACAGTACTAAAGTACGTAGCGAAAATAATTCCCCAACTTGCAAAAACCAATGAGGAGCAACAAAACAAATAAATGGCAGAAAATAATCACAAAGAGACAGATATTTTTAACATGGGAAAACCCTAGTAAAAACCCACGGGTACAAGCCAGTCAATCAAGCTCTACTATGATCAAATAAGGGTACAAGAGAGTCTAATCAAATGCATAAACAAATGCTTACAACCAGCCAATATATTAAAGCAACAAGGTTTTCCAACCGAAGAATAAAGAAGAAGAAACCTCAAATTAGAGCAATTGTAAGAAATTGATTTCTCCAACCATAGACTTCCAATTCACGATCCCCATGGTCAAAACAAAGATCACCGTGTTAAGAATCTGCTGTCAAATTTTCAGCCCGATCCAACGGTAAACGAAGTGGGGATCGAAATTTTACTGAAACTGCTTTGTGTATGCAAACCAAATATTGTTCTCTCTTTCTCTCTTCTTTCTCTCCCTGACCGCTGTGTAATTTTCTCTCTTTTATTCCTAAGAGATCCCTCTCCACTTGGTTTTTAAGTGAGACAAAATTTGGACTTCTCAATTTTGGACCTTTTCTCCACATAGGAAGGGAACCTAATACCCAACAAATTCCAGGAGCACTTGCAGAGATTGAAGGATTCTGAAGCAACCAGCACTTCTTTGTCATCATCTTCAAAAGCTAAATTGGCTTGCAGGATTTGCATGACTATGCTGATAAGTTGCTCCAGTTGCCCACTACCCAACAAGCCTTTGCACAACAATGCAGTGAAAAGTTGGTTGATCTTCTTTTAGAAGGGTCTCTGGGGCTTCTTGATATCTGTAGTGCAGCCCAAGATTGTCCCTTGTAATCAAAGGAAAGCATTCAAACGGTTAAGTCAGTTATACGAAGGAAGGGTGTTGACACTGAATTCACAGTTCAGGGTGGAAAATACTTGACATCTAAGAAGAAGATGAAAAAGGCAATTCAAAAGGCCTTAGGCAATTGAAAGGAATGAAAAATAATTCCTCTTCAAGCAAAGATAATGAGGTTTTGTCTATCCTTGGCATGTTAAAAGAAGCAGAACCAGTCACTATGAGGTCCTTAGAATTTTTGTGGCTGTTTGTGTCTGACCCCAATGGACAATCAAAGCAGAGAAGATGGTCAATAATCTCTAAGTTGATGCAGCCCCATAGAATGACTTGTGACTCTCAAGAATCAGACTCAAATGAATTTGTAACGGTGGATACAGCTTTGCAATCACTCATCACTCGCAAGCCTTTATCTGTTGAGAATCTTCACAGCCATGTGGAAAATTTGGAGATATGCATTGAGGATCTAGAAGTAGGTGTTGAACACCTTTTAAGGCAACTCATTAGAACAAGAGCTTCCCTTCTTAACATCTTCAGCCACTAGTTAGAGAAAAAATCTCAATGTTGAATGTGGACACCCAAATTCAATTTTTGTCCCACAATTGTACATAGATGTGATGTGATCACAACTTTTTTTTGTTACTAAATACAATATTGTACGATATTATAAAAGGATCTGGTTATGGCCAATTAATCTCTTTACCAAAAAAATCTCTTTTTTTATTGATTTCTTTCTTTGATACATACATTCATTCATATTTCTCTTTTTCTTTTGTTGCTATATCTGTTGAGAAATTCCTTTCCTATGTCTAAATTTTGTTTGCTTGATTAAATGGATAGAAGAAAGTGAGTCCCACAGTTGTATAAAGATGCGAGTTTATCTGCTTCTTTTCCCCTTAACTAGGTTTCTTTCTGATGGGGTTATTTTATGAAAGTTATTTTTATAAGATTATTACACAAACATAGATATTGTCCGCTTTGGGCCTTAGCCCTCACAGTTTTACTTTTGGTCATTACCCAAAAGGCCTTTCGATCATTGAAGTATGTTTGTATTATATAAGTTATTATTTCTTGTTTTATTTTATCGATGTGGGACTTGTTTGTATCCCAACACTTTCTTTCTTTGGAAATTCTTACCTAAGTGAAAATGTGAAATTTAGAGAAAGGTTCAAAATGAAATTGCATTTTCATGTTTTAATTGCACTAGTAAGTATGAAGTAAAATTGATTCTAAAATTTTCATATTCTCACTTGTCACGTATGTTGAGATACAAACAAAGTCTTACATTGTTAGAACAAGAGAAGAAATAAGAGTTTATAAAATACATACATACTCCATTGATTGGGAGGCCTTTTGGGTGATGACCAAAAGCAAAACCATGAGGGTAAAAACTCAAAATAGACAATATTTTACCATTGTGAAATTGTGTGTGCAAATACCTACTAAAATACAAAGGAGAAATAAGAATTTATAAAACACATACATACTCCATTGATTGAAAGACCTTTTGGATGATGATCAAAGCAAAACTAAGGTGAGAACTCAAAGTAGACAATATCTTAATATTGTGAAGTTGTATGTGCAAATACGTACCCACCGAAATACAGAGGAGAAATAAAAGTTTATAAAAACACATATTCCATTGGTTGAGAGACCTTTTGAGTGATGACAAAAAATAAAACCATGAGGGTGAAAATCCAAAGTAGACAATTACCATTGTGAAGTTATGTATGCAAATACCCACTAGTAACCCGACAAACAATAAACAAGATATAACCCCTCATCTTGATAAATATATTCTTATATAAATACCATAACATAACCCTAATAACGTAATCAACCAAGTACATCTTATCAATTAGAATGCCCATGTAGGATTCTAAACTCCACAATGATAAGATATTATCCGTTTTGCACTTAAGTCCTTATGGCTTTGCTTTTGGTTATCACTCAAAAGGCCTATCAACCATTGGAGTATATGTATGTTTTATAAACTCTTATTTATTCTCTATTTCTCTTGTTTTATCGATGTGTGTCCTTATTTGTATCTTAATAGTTCTTTTATTTCATATGCAAAAATTCAATGAACAACGTGATTGTTGTCTTCTTGTAATGAGGGAAAAACTAATTAGTTGTCACTTGTCAGTTCCTTATGTTAATGTGATTCATTATTAGTTTCTTGTGTTCCAAGCAGTTTCTAATCTGTACTACAATAGCATTTATGACCAGCAAGTGATCCATATAATTCCACTATGATTTGCATTTAATGTTATTCTATTTGCCAAAAAAACAAATTTATACCTGCATTTAATGCAATGAAGGAAAACCTAGCAATCAGGCAATGCCAGTTGTGAGTTTAGTGCATTGATAACACCAATATGATCAATGAAAACGTGGGTTGAGAGAAGAAAACAAGTCCCGAGTTGGAGTGTTCCTATGCAAGAGACATTGCATTAACATTACTGATATCTTTTCGATAAATCTGAATGAGTCAGTTAGCCCATTTATTTTTGTTAATATTTGATTCCTTGTGTCTCCTCAACTCCCGATGTGTATTGAACTAATCTCAATGGAAGTAAAGTATATTCAAAGACTTTGAATACTTGATATAATTAGTGACTTTTTCCTTATGATATGTACTCAAAGTATTGCCATGAAATAACTCAAGTCACGAAATGATCATTGCTCAATGATGATACTACAAGTACAAACTAAAATTTGATTAAACAGTTTCAATGTATCATAAGTAGATATTTTCATTTACAATTACCATGTAAAATTGTATATGTACATTACAAAATTTGGATGCCCCAGATAACCTTAACTAGTGATTGAGGATGTTAAGAAGGGCAACTCTAGTCTTTATCAAATGCCTAAACAGAAACTCAAGCCCTTCTTCAAGATCTTGAGTAAGAGACTCTATTTTCTCCAATTGGTTTTGAAGCTTATTCATGTTTTCAATTTTGCTTGTCTGGGAAAACATGCAGGATTGCAATGCTTCGTCAAGTTGGGCAAATTCACTTTCATGATCTGCCAATTGTGAGCAACCGACTTTCTTGGTCTGCATTAGCTTGGAAACCAAAACCCAACTGCTTGACTTTGATTGAGTAGTCCCTGAGATGAATTGCATTAATGCCTGAAATGTTGAAAGAGTGACCACTTCCACATTCTCTAATAAACTAATCAAAGCCACTGTTTGATTGCCTTTGTTTGTGGATGAGATGTTGCCATGTTTTGAAGTAGCCTTCAAATTTTCCAAGGCTGGATCGGTTTTTAAAAAAAACCGATCCATGCCCACCCCTAGGATTTACACGTTTTTTATTACCGCAAATTCATTCAAATGTTTCACCTAGGAACACAGTTTACGGGTGACGGTCAGTTTTGAAACCCAACTCAACTTTCATTAAGAAAATTAGTTGACGACAACAGAATCAGTCAGCAGATGAGTTTGAATGTTTTATCCGCATAGTCAATCAACATGCCTACTGCATGAAGGGTGCGGGTGGTCACGTTTTTGTGACAACCTCAAACAGTGGATAGAAATTCACCATGCTTATAATGCAATTGCAAGGTACCCAACTAATTTGTTCCACGAAGGAAGGTCACAATTCCATGATGAAGTACCTTGTATAACCCGCCAACTAGGCAGGCCAGTCAACTTTCGTACTTGCACCATTTGACCCAAAAATAAATATGAAACAAAATTGTCATATTTTTCCCCCCATCTTTTTATCACCATAAATACTCAGCAAAGTGTGGATCAATTGATAAAGGATTGTTCCAACCTAATCAAAAGTTTCAAATTCGAGTACCTGAGTATATACTTAATTTAAATATTCAGGAAAATTTTTCCTACCTATAATATGTTACTAAAAAATGATTGATTCTGGTAGAAGATACATATAATTTATGCGGAAAATAGATAAAAAAAATACCAACGCTACCTCTTCCATGAATACAGGTAGAACACGACCATTTACGAATTTACAATCACCAGGGAAATCAAAACTAAACTAAATCCCACTCAAGTCAAATAATGTTATCGCCAGTTCAACACCTTAATAAGTAGAGCAAATAAAAGAAAACTTCTTGCTGCTTTACTTAAGATCATAACTCACATAAATTGTCACCAAAAAGAAAAATAACTCACATAGAATGGCACTAAAATTAAACTATATTACAGACATAAAGTAAGCAAGAGAGAGAGAGAGAGAACTTCACTCAGTTGGACAAGATATTTAAACCTGTTGTCTTTGGATGAAGAGGGAGATGGACAAAAATAAGGTTAGCTGTGTGGATTAAGAGGGAGATGGACAAAAAGCAGAGAACTTCAAGTTTAAATAGAAGCTTCAATTAGAACAGCCGTCTTCTGAAGTGGCGAGTGGTGCCTTGGTAGGTCTTAACAAGCAGGCCAACTCCAATGCCAATGCCAAGACAAACACTAAGTCCAATACCAACACCCACCCTAACACCAGCATTAAACCATGAAAGTTCTCCATCTTCGCCATCAGTATATGCTGTTCCTGCGTAGAGGCTGTTATAATCCTCATCATCGTGTTTGTCGCAAAGGTAATCCGGGGCCTGCAGGATTGCCACAGAAATATTAAGGATGGTCTATAATTACTTAATGAGAAAAAAAAAAGGAATCTTCAAATTCCAATTGGTTTGGCTATCAATTTCCAACATCTTGTCAGGGGAGAAATTTCAACATTTAGTATGTCTTGCTGATTAAGCTAATTGCATGTGCTCAAGGGGGGGACCAAATTTAAATGATGAACTGGACATGAATGATATCCTTTTCTTGACAGCTATCCATAAAAAACAATACACAAGTGAACAACATAGAAGATGGAAAATAAAACATCAGACACAGACCAGAGGTTATTTTCACTTGTATCGTAGTTATTTTATGTCACATCTCCTAGTCTCGGAGGTGCTGACTTCCATCAGATACAAATGCTTATATCAATTAAACCATCTCAAGTTTCAAATGACATAAAGTTAACTCAGCTGATGAACTGACATAACAAAGAGGGACAATATAAGAAGCATGCCAAAAAATAACTGAACAAGCACTAATTACCTGGAAAGCAAGTGCTGAATAAGGATCTTTCCCATTTTCACTGGCTTCATTCTCTGGAATTGCATCCAACACCCCCTTCTTTGTATGTTTTTTCTGTATAAGCTGCAAGGTTTTTGTTAAGATAATTGGAGTACCCAAGAAGGAGCCTGCAATGTAGACCTCAATTGTTGGGAGAGTTGAGTCTGGCAAAAGCAATTGTTTCCCCTTAAAGAAGCTTGTGCCTGGAATTATGTACGACTCACAGTTCATACTCCACCTTTGTCCATTATAACTTGATTCCCTAACAACACCATTGTTATTATTACATAATTCTAAAACACCAGATAGCAGCAGAACATCTTTATCAAACACCTCAAATTTCACACTACCACTCATCCTTATGCTATCAGTGCTTACAAACGTTACTTCTTCCGATTTTCTATCTACCCTGTCTCTCTTGAGAAGGGTTGACATCCCGTCAGAATTCATACTACTACGAACACCATTAACTTCAAGAAGAGTGTCAGGATTCAAAGGAACATGGTTCAGTGTAAGAAACCCAGGAGTGGAATCATCAAACTCACACTTGCACACTCTTACATAAAACACCCGTACATCCAGCCAAGGTAGTGACCCCTTCAAGGAGGGTTGATAAGAGTGCCTTGCAACAGAGTATCCATTCTCAGTTGGTCCATTCCCATTAGCTTTATAAGAATTCTCCATAGCCAGACAGTCTAATTCTCCTCCTCACTGAAACTCTTTCATTTCAATTGAACCAATAACTTGTGTCAACACTAATCCACTGACCATAAGTTAGACAGGAAGCACGGACGCCAGCAGCAACAAAGCAAATTCAATTCAGCTCAATTCACAGAAGAAAATCTGGGCATTTGGAGGACAAAAAAAGGCAATCATTTACACATCATCAGCATGACAAAGGAGAAAAAATCCCTACTAACCTTAGAGCTCATCTAGATACGGCAATGAAACAAAGCAAGCAAAATAATAAATAAATAAATAAGTATAGAATTAGCAATCAAATGTTAAAATGAAACAAGCCTAGTTCCACTTAAAACAAGTCAGATGACCCGGATGAGGAAGATAGAGAAGATGACAGCAACCCGCACCCAATCAAATAAGATAAACGCAGAAAGAAATGGATTCAGGAAACTACCAACACAATAGATGAATCGAAAAGAAAAAAAAAAAAAATATAAAGTGAATAGTAAAGGTCCGAACCGGAAGAAAGAACAGACAAAAAGACGATAAGAGGGAGTGAAGGAGATAAATCTAGAAACTCCTCGAATATATCACAATTCGGTGGTTAAATCTACAGAAAGCAGTGTCTCTTTCAGTAATCCGATTGATACCCACTTTTTATTGAAGAGTAAATTATACCATACCGAAGACAATCCACCAATTTGCCGAAGAAAAACAAGAAATTTAAGTGCTTAACCACACGCATGCAGTGAAAGAAAAGGGGAGAAATGGATCACACAACAGAACTAATCACCAGAGAACAATCAGAAAGCAAATGAATATCCTCTGTAGAGATTTTGATGAAATAGCCGGCAAGACACGACATAGGAACACGACAAAAGCATCACTAGCAGGAACCATGCATTGATGCAAATACATCATCAAAAACGGAAACGCATTATTTAACGCCCAACCACCACCGCACTCACCACAAATATCTTGTGTAAAGTAACGAAAAAGAAACGAATTGGTAATGGAGCAAACGAGAAAGCTTTTTGGTTCACACCCAGAATCGCTGGCACGCAGAAGGGGGGGAGGAGGATCTAAACGAGCTAAGAGACCGAACCCAAGTCGTCAAAACAAAGGAGGAATCGTCTTATTTTGCTTCAACATCATAGGATCAATCGAAATCATAGCAGAGTGAGGGAAGAACCCAGATTTTGCAGAGAATGATATGGGTTGTTCTCAGTGTTGGATATAGATATTGTTAATTTAATGGAAGAAGTGGGGTCCTTCTGTATTCGAGATCTTATCCACGGGAAACAGAGAAATGTATGCAGTTTTAAGGAAAGGGTCGGGTCTGTGTGTATATGAAAAGGACGTGGACGTGAATTGTGATCCTTCCCATGCTCCCGGTCCTCGCTCTAGGCAGATGGGTTCCTTGCAAACTTAGAATTACAAACACACAGTTCTTTTTTTCTTTTTCATTAAAGAGGTCGAAGCCCGTCCAGATACGCTAAATCACACATGTCCAATGGACCTTCTTCTCGCCGTTCATAATTTAGATTTTCAAATTATTAAATAAATATTGTGCTGTCCGCAAATAAAAGTTACAATACCTCAAAACTTCCACGAACATCCAAATACCCATTTAAATTTTTACACAACTTTAAAATAAAGTAGTAAAGCTGGCCATTTATTAAGAAAAAAAGTATATTTTCAATGAAAAAAAACACAGATTTTTGCATCAACAAATAGATATTAATAATGCCTATTAATTTGTTTGACAGAAAAGAAAATGAGGAAAAAAATTAATATTTAAATTAAAAATTTGTCTTCCAAAGTCTTTTTTTTTTCTCCAACTAAATAAAAAATATTATTTTTCATATTTTTTTCCTTACATCTAAACAGACAAACTCCAATTATAATATAGAATATCCATAAATTTTAATTAATTCTTATATATTAAATACGACTTTTATGAGAATATTTTTATTTTGAAAGAATTTTTAGATTTTTTTACTTTATCTAATTCAATTTTATTTATTATAATTACTTATAAATTAAATTTTAATATTTTAAAATAAATTATAATATTATATTATAATATAAAATATTTATCTAAAACTTAAAATATTATTTATGTTTAAAATATCTATTTATATAAATTTAAAATATAATTTATATATTTAAAATATAATATTTATTTGTGTATAAAATTTATTGTAAATTTTAATTACATATAATAAATATTTAACTAGTACATTCTACAAGTTAAAATTAGTTAATTTATTGTTTATAGTTTCGATGGTTAATTTTTAATCAATTATTATCACTTTTCATTTTTTATAAGCTTAAATATATTTTTAGTTCTTCAAATTTAAAATAAATTTATTTTTTATCCTTCAAATTTAAAATTGTTGTTTTTAATTCTTGTAATTTATAAAAATTTTGCTTTAGTCCCTTAAGTCACCACTAACATATTTAAAAGTGGCTAATTAAGACAGTTATGCAATATCAACTGAATTTAATGTGATATTTTCACTAATAGGAACATCAATAGATAGATTTTATTCAATAATATTTAATAAATTTTTTAACAAAATTTGAATATAATAACTAAAATAAGATTTTTTGAAATTATAAAAATTAAAAACAATAATTTTAAATTTGAAAAATTTAAAATAAATTTATCCTAAATTTAAGGAACTAAAAACATATTTAAGCTTTTTTTTTTATTATTTTAAAAGAATCGAAATGGTTGAAGAGTGGATTTTTTTACTCAACAGATTTAGATTTGGGTACAGATGTTTATTTAAGAAAATTTATGGAAAAAAACTGCAAGGGATACTTGAATCCTCTTCATACCAAATATAAAAATTTATGGAAAAAACATTTCTTGATAAAAGTTAGTTACTTTTACTTGCTTAAAATCAGCTAATGTTAACAAATGATAAATTTAAAACTCAATTATATTAATAGTCAAAGGTAAATCAAATAAAACACAAGAAAGTTATTTATATTTATAAAAACACATCCATAAATAAGAGCTTAATTGATATACTTTTTTGGGTGAATTAAGAGCTTAATTAATATGTTGCAAACATAATATATTTTTTAATATTTGGCGAATTATTATTTATTATTATATTAATTTCATCAAATAATAAATAAATAAGTAAATGTGTTACGGTGCATACTAATTAATTTATGAGTGATGCTTGGCCAATACCAAAAACTACTAGAAGAGGAGGCGGCTTGCTGGACTTCAAGTACATTAGGAACCTCTGGGATGTTAATTCTAATGCTACCATATTTGCTTCTCTTGAATTTACTTTCCCCATTATTCTCTAGTTAGAAGTTTAGAATGTTCAAAGGTGGAAAATAGCACGGATGAAAATGACGTAAAATTGGTCTATTCAATCTCTCCTTTTAAAATTAATTTTTAATTATATATTTTTAACCTCTCTATGCACAATCAGTTTTAGTTTATAAAAAATTATCTCATTTTAGTCCATCATTTATAAAATAAATATAAAAAACCCTGTTTATATAAAAAATGAATAAAAATATATTTTTTTTTGTAAATGACTAAATATATTTCCAAAAATGAAGGACTAATAAGATTCAGTTTTTATATACTAATCGTGTGTTTGGAAAAGTGATTTAGTGGAGAATAGAGGAAAAAGAAAAAAGAGAATTATCAAGAATTGAAAAGACACAGTTTGGAGGAGATGATTTATATGGATCTTTAAGAAAATTATAGTAAGATCCATGTGAATTTAATTTCACTCTCTTATAAATGTCTTTGTTTGGAATTTTTCATAAAAAAAGTTTGGACAACTAATCATACACTATTGTCTAAATAGTTTGTAGTAAAAGATAATTGTTGTCTAACTAATATATTTTTACATAAAAATCTATCTATATAAAATACAATTTTAAAATACTAATTTCTCTTTATTTTTAACCTAATTTCACTTAATCAAACAACTAAAAATTTCACACTATTTTCTACCTATTTCCTATCAAATCAATTTTCACCTATTATCTTCTATTCCCTTCAATTCTTCCTCCTCTCCTAAACAAAGCATAAACAACTTTTACATATTTAACCATTAAATATTTAAAAATCAATTCTGCCAGAGTTTGTTCAAACCAAGCATTCGGTTATGCACCACTTAACTTAATAGCTTAAGTGGTGAGCGCTTGAGAGGGAGAGACATTGCTTGAGAGGGAGAGACATTACATATGTCAATTTAAGTCTAACTCGATAGGCCTATTTAAGTAGCCTACAAATAAGACCAGGCTAGGCCTTAAAAATGATAACCAAGATAGAATCAAACAATTTTGATTTGGTCAGCTAAGCTTGACATGTCAAATGAACCCAAATTAGATTGACATGCAAGTTTACTAGTAATAGTAATAATAATACTATAATAATAAGTCTTTTGCTTTTTTCGTATTAACTTACAAAATTATAGTTACCAACTTAGAGTTAAAATAGTTGTTACGAGAGTGTTCATTCTCGTTGTCCCCTTAATGACTCAACTAATGACCCGATATCATTCAATTTTGATACTCATGAATGTCACATCAATATTTTCTCTCTGACAAAATAATAACCTCTGTATGTTTGATTCTAGCATGAAACACTAGATTTTTTACTAAATGGATTGTTGGCTGGTTCACACAATATATCTCCTCCATGTGATCAATAAGTTGAATGAAAATCTCTTAAAAGTCGTACAAGTCACGCACACTGTTGCGCCACCAAAGTCTTTGTTCTGTATACTTACCTGATAAATCCATGAGACTGCAAGAGTTGTGTTTGTATAATTTTCATACAAAAGAAAAACCATGCAACTGTGGCTTAGTCATTTAACTATAAGTGCAGGTAAGCATCGATCCAGCTCTTATTTTGATATTAGTAATATATATGTTATAAATTCCCGCGTCTTCTATTTTTCGAAGACAAATATTTAATTTAGATGATAGGCTCGAATCTCAGACCTCATGATCTTTAACCATTCAACAGTTTTATATTAAATGAGATGCAACAAGGACACAGGCTCAGATTGCACTTCACCTCCTCTTCTTTTCACTCACACGTAGTTCGCTTTATTTTAAAGCATTGGAACAAGTAATGCGATTCTTGTTTCTGCAAGAGAGACATGTACAACTATACCATATATTGGGAAAAACCCATGTCCCACATCGACTAGAGATTAGGCAATTAAATAGTATATAACTGGAAAATAGGGGTGTATTCAAGTCCCGTCAATTAAAAAGGGGTCACCTACCATTCATTAATACATGCACCATGGACATGAGGGGGGGTGTATTCAAGTCCCGCCAATCCTAGATCATTAAAAAGGGCCACCTATCATTTATCTACGTACCAAACCCAATAGTGCTAGACGTGAGGGGGGTGTATTGAGAAAAACCCAAGTCCCACATCGACTAGAGATTAGGCAATTAAATAGTATATAAGTGGAAAATAACCCTCACCTTACAAGCCGGTTTTGTAGGGTTGAGTTAAGCTTCAATCCACTATTCTAATACCATACCCATTGTTTTAGCCATCACGGTACTCCACTCGTGCACATGAATTACATTATTCAATTTATAGTAAATGATTCACATTCTAAACATCATAATCATGGAAGTGGGAGAAAAAGTATTAGTTTGAGTCTCCTCGTGGGAGACACTTCTCTTACAATTTTGTGGCAATGTTTAGATCCAAATCTTGATTAGTTAGCACTCAAAGTAGCCTTCAAATTTTCCAAGGCTTTCGAGATGGCCTTTTTCACCACCTTCCTTGAAGTCAAGAACTTCTTAATCTCTGCCACTTCACCACCCTTTCTCCTTCTCATAATTGATTGAAGATCACGCATGCACTCTTTTGTATGCAGTAGAGAGTCTTTGGTGGCAGTGCACACATCTAAGACCCTTAAGGATCCATTCAGAAGCTCATCAACCCACTTTTCTTGAGACTCGTGGTGAAGTGCTTCTTGGGTGAGGGGAAGCTGGAACAAATTTTCAACACATACATGCAGATCTTGCAACCCTCCTAGCTTATGGCTAAGCGATGAACAGGAAGAAGAGGTTTCATGGGAAGCCCTTAACCTGTCCAAGTGCTCATTGCATTGTAGCAGCGGAAACACACAACAAGAGAAACAAATTAAAGAAAACAAACTCAAGAATTAACGTGGTTCAGCACTTCTTGCCTACATCCACAAACAAATTTTTACTAGCAATTTTTACAAGGACAAAATTGCAAAACCTCTCACACAAGTTTTCTGGAAAAACTTGGAAACCTTACACTTGCACACAACTACCCAAGTCCCCAATACACTCAAAGGAACCTATGTTGTTGTGGTAAGTAAACACAAACCCTCACCCTTTATTTATAGTAGTACTCTACCACTACCCTTCTTCAAACTACCCAATGTGGGACTTTGGAAGGTACCCACACACTTTGGCACAACACAAACTACTCAATGTGGGACTTTGGAGGATACCCACACACTTTGGGCACAACAATCATCTCTGTTTTGTTTATTAAAAATGAAGACAAAGACATAATAAGGTTCACTCTTCACACAATAAAATCACAAGGTATAGAATAGTTTTAACATCTCAATTGAGAAACCTTTCTATTTATGATATGATTTTCTTATCTATTCAATTGTTCAAGTATATCTACATAACTAATTGAGTGTTTTCTTATTTTGACATTTTTTTTCTATCTCATTTTAGTTATCATCAATACAAAAATAATTAGGCATTTCATGACAATATATAGTATCAATTAAAAATGTCATAATTTTTTTTATAAAAAAATAGATTTAATCCATTTAATGTATTTTTTAACTAGGTCAATTTATCCCGATGGCCTGCCATGGATTAGATTGGATAAAAAATGACAATCCAAAAAAATACAAGTCAAGTCAACCTAAATAGTATTTGGCCCGGTTAAAGTTGATCAAGCCAACTTGAACCATTTTACACCTCTTAGAGACATGAACATATGGGCAAAATTCAATCCTACAATTTTTAAAATACCACCTCACCCACCCGCAACCCCATTCTCTTACAATGGATAAAAAATTGAAAGAGGGGAGGGAGGGGAAATAAAAACATTACTCACATAAAGCCTATCAAGAGGCCTAATAATATATTAATGAAAAATAAAATTCACCAGGAAGGGCCTCAAAGTATAGACCAAACAGTTAACATAGAAGTATCATAAATAAAAAAAGGGGGACTCTTCAAAAGAAATATCAGGTTTAAAAAAAGGTTACAGATAATCCTTTCTGGACCAATGGGATTAGTAACTAGCTGCCGGGCACTTTCTCTAAAGCATAATTCAAATTGGAGGTGAAAGACCATTCATCAAAATTTAAAATCGTTACCTTATATAAAAATATTGAGCAAATAGATATGAGGTTCACATTATTAAAAGAATAATACTGTTTTTCAAACTGGATTGTTATGCTCCAAGGTATGATGGGAATACCATTCACGTGACAGCCATAAAATAAATAGACCAGGAGTGAGATGTTAACCAACATTAACCAACCCAACTAGGATTTGATATGATGGAATCCTTTAGTCCTTGTCACCGAGGAACTGCAAAGTCTAGGACACATCAACGAAAAATATGGATTACAATCAGCAGGAGGGTGTAAAATCCATGGAACTAAGTGTCAAGCAATTTTCATTTTTTTCCCGGTAGACATGACGAAGAAGTTTCAACAATGGAAAAATCAGGAGGGAAATATCCGACTCGAGGGGAAAATGACAATTATCCATTATGTCCATGGCTAATGTAGGCATCTTTGACTTTAAGGTTTGAGTTTAATATTACAAATATGATGAGATCATGATATTTTATTCAGAGATTAGCAGTTCCAGATCAATTACATGACAATTTCCTGTTCTCAAATTAGTTTCACTTCTCATTGAGGGCTAAATCGATCGTTAAACACAATGCCATTATACCATTAAAGTAACACACAAAAGAGGAAAAAGTGGACAGAATATAACATTTTAACTGGGAGCCAACAAAAAATAGAGTAAATACATACACTCTT